AAGATGATAAACAGCAATTGTTAAACATTTGGACATGCTTTGCTGTGTGACTTTCACCTAGGAATGTTAACAAAATTATCTGAGCAGCTCTGAGCTGCTGATGCTGAGGTTTTTAAAAATGCTGGAATACCAGAGAATAATCTCGGTGAATGTGGGGGGGAAAAACCACCTGAATGTTGGCTCTTTATGCAAATGGGTAAGTTCAGGATAACGTTAATTCCAGGCAATGATTGTGAAACTGTTATTGGCAAAGGACTGGAGAAATGCAGCGAGGTTGTCAGTCATCCATGTGGATGTTTGGAAAATACTCTTTTTCAGATACTGTATCCAGCGCTCTGTAGTGGTAGGAAGAAGATGTTAGGAAATGGCAGTGTGCAACTGGGGTCATACAGCTTTCCCTGCTCCCGACCTCCTCCTCCCAGCACCGGTTTCCGCTTTCTTGACTGATGGGAGCAGCCAGGAAATGATCCCATAGGTAAAACTGCTTTGCTTGGCATCTTTAAAAATCTATACTGAACTGCTGCTGTCTGAATATCACGGCTGTGGCAGGATCCGGCTTGGCAGTGTTGGTCGGAAGGGCAGCGGACGTACAAACCGTACCTGAGTGGGAGTCCGGAGAGGCTCAGGGAGGTTGTCCTGGGGAAGGGTTTTATGGCCTGCCTGGTTGGTGGCTCCTGTGTTTGCTGCCAGTGAGCTTGCTGCCCGCAGGCAAAATCAGTAGCGTGAGGTTGTCTCTCTTCTGCGAGCTGAGACCTTTCTTCGCCAACTAGCGGCTGTTAGGGCTCCTTTGAAGTTGTTTGGTAAACTGAGTCATAGGGAAGATTCTGAGCCATTCGTGTAGGAGTGAAAAATGCCATGGGAATTTCTGCTTGAGTGTAGCTAACCAAGACCTCTCTGAGCCTGGTTGTTGATCCCGAAAATTGTCAGCAGGAGTGAGCTCTGGTAATTACATAGCCATTTCTGAAGCCTTTTCTATCATATTCTCCTGTGTTAGATGATGCAGCTAAACAGAAATGATTCTGTGCGTGCCTATCTGTTTTCCTTACACTGTCATTCCCCATTTCCTATGGGTATAGTCTCAGTCCCACTATCAAATCAGGCTGTCTCAGAAGAAAATTGTCATAATTCAGATATTTTTTTTTTCCTAAACAAAACAGAATTTGGCAGAGTAATAAAGGCTTTTGTGCATTTAGGCTTTTTCCTTGCAGAGCAGAAAGCTCTTCTTTGGTCCTATGGGAAGCGTATATCAGCAGCGCTAATTATAATCCCAAGACAAGCTTGTTGCCGTGCGGAGGCAATAGGAAGTATCAACTTCTCACTGAAACTCAACATACTGTGGTCTGCTGATTGTGTGTAGCCATGGCAGATACTGGGAATGGTGGTGTATTTCTTACTGTGGCTTTTCTACTAGAGCTATTCTTTGACTTTCAATCTTGTTATCAACTGTAGGGAAAATAAACACCAGAAGACCATTTAGACGTTTTCATTATTTGAATTGCCAAGGTAGTGGTGAAGTGGAGAGTTCTTCATTATGGGCCGCGCTGATGGAGAGCGCCTGGTGGGGACTTAGCTTTTCCATACCTACAGAACTAAGGACCACATCTGGAGAGCGATGCTCTCTTTTTTTTCAGGTTGTGATCCTGTGGTGTAAAGAGGGGGCTCGATTAGTGCTTTAGGGTGCCAAAGCAGAACTGGTTGGGAAAACACTTGAGTCTGCATGGAAAAAATAGTTGTGGCCCAAATCTAGTTCTGTGATATAATCTTACTGTGAGAATGAGCTCTGAGCCGTGAGTTGTTTATCAGTATGCTCTCCAGAAGAGACGACTGTCATATTGATCAGAGCGGTTGTATGCAATAAGATGCTTTGACGGTTGTTTAATGAATTTGTGTCTTCTGTCTGCCTGAGAGCGTTTTCCTGGGGTACAACAGAAAAGGTTAATCGCTGGATAAAGAAGAGTAAGTGCTACAAGGGGTTGAGCAATAACTCTGCTTCTTTCAGAATCCTAGAAAAGATGAATGACTGAACATGGTGAATCATCACTGACATGGTTTTTCAGAGAAACAGCCAACGTTCCTTTGAGACTTGCTGAATAAGCAGTTGCTGCAATTTTTTGGCTGCGTGTGAAGTAGCCTCTTCCCACTTCCCAAAATGCAGCGACGATCACAAAACAGGAAAAGCCATGTTAGTGGTGAATCTGGGTTTCCAAGTATCCATTTAATTGGGTTCTGTCCACAGTTTCCCAACTTCATTGCACTGGTTGAATTGCAATCACCTCTGGAAATTTGTTACTATTTATAAGGATTTGGGCTTCTTGTTTTGCAAGAAAATACCTTAATTATAATTTCAAATGGGTAGGAGAAGAGAACATGGAGAGAGCATGTCAGGCTGACTTTCTGAAAAGAGATGCTTTAATTCCAGTGTGATCGTTATGTGTTTTGGTTTGTGACATCTTGGATTTCTGTCATTTCTCTCTAAGCTGGTAGGACATTAAGTATTTTAAATCTTTTGGTTTTTCATGCTTACTAGTCTTGAATTTGTCCTCAAGACTAGATGGTTCAAAATTACTACAGGTATTTGATAGCTGTTGATGATAAGGGATATTTTAAGTGAATTTTAGAAAATGGAATAGCATTTTTGCCTGAGCAGCATTCTGCTTTGGAAGGAAACTTCAGTAAATAAATTCTGGATTAGTTAAGGTTGACCACACAAGGTAAAACCATCTGGTAAGTGCTGTCTTTGCCTCCTGTCTGGAATAGTTATAACTCTTGATTTACATTACCTACTTTTCATGGTGGTAAATGCTAAATGAGAATTTAATTCTATGGAGGGATTCTCTGATGTGCCTCACTTTGTTTGCACACAGGGGTATATATATGCTTTTCAGTGTACAAGCTTTTAATTTCATTTCATTTGAAATAGGAATATTAGTTCTATGTGGTTCTGATATCAACTTCCAAAAGCAGAAGATGCTTTACCGTATCTGACAGAAATTACTAATAAATGCGTGTAGTGGATTTTTAACTGGGAAGCTGAATTTAGAATAGTTCATAGATCAAACACTCAATTAATTGAATTATCTAGTTGGTATGCAGGTACCTGCCAGATAGACTTATTGTTACAGAATAGGCAAAGTTGGTATACAAACTCAAGGTGCTGGCAGTGCTTTTGTTTATTTGTTGTTATTTTGTTATTGTCTATTCATGATAACTTGGAACGCAGCATTAATTTTTATATCTGAAAAAAATCATGCCTAGTGCTCTGACCTGTCCTTTTTGTTTGTTTAACACCCCTCTTGATGTAAGCAGTTCAGCAAAATTAGGTGGCATTTGAAATTGAAAAATTATTCAGCACTTTCCATAAAATATGTTTGAAAGTTTTTGTACCAGGGTGAATGAAGTCATCTGCGCAGAATAACAAATGATTTATCATGTGATGGTTGCTGCACTGCAGGCAATAGCTGGGTGGGTACTCACGCGTCGCTTGGCACAAACGCAAAGAGCTTTTTGCATGTTCCAGCTTAGAAAAACTGTGAGCCATGGCTTGGCTTTGTGTTTGTTCTAGAATTTCTGGTTCTCGCTTTGGATTTTGTAGCTGCAGGTGTGCAGTGCGACTGAGCGTGTCCCGTGAGGCAGCCTGGGGGATTTAGTGGTGCTTCCAGCACTGGTGGTGGGTCCTGCTGCCCCTGGCCAAGCGCAGCGGAGAAGATAAATGTGCTTCAAAGGAGTTGGGGACGAAAGCCTCTTGTACAACCTCAGGCTGATACAGTTAGAAGGAAAGTGTAAAAGCATAGGTACCTGTGTGGCTTCTTCCCCCTCTTCTGACTCTGTGTACTCTCCAGCTCTCTTTGGTCTTGAGAGTTGCATTTTCTCAGGCAGCACCTTACTTTTTGGCTCTCCGTTTTCCTGTTTTTCAGTGTAAATTATGTGGCTATGGGATTATCTGTGTAATAAACCTTTAAAAAGAGTGGCATTTATAGAGCTTTGTGTATGCAAATGGTAAAGGAAGTATCTCTTACTACACTTAGCCCAGATTGATTTTATTTCCTTGCTAATTAAACAATATCTAAAAGGGAGATTAAAGGCTTTCTAGGAAAAGGACTTGCCTCGTTTATGATCTTTGAAATGTCAGATGTGTTTTTAGAGCTGTTTTCAAACTTAAAACAGAGTAGGGGTAAACAAAATCACAGCTTCCTTGAACAATGTCCAAGTAGGTGCACAAAATACTTGGTATCTATTCTTGAGATAGTTAGGTAAATCTCAAATAATGATATTGCTGTATTGACCAGCTATTGGTCTGCAAAAGGTACAGTGGAGCTTGACATGAAGAGACTGAAAAGAATTGTGCTTTATGAATGTAATTGCGGTGGGAGAATTATTAATTCTTAAAATTTAAGTGGTTCACCGAGATTTAGCTTTATCTGCATAGTTAATATACAAATGATTAACATTAAGCATGAATTATAAATGAGGAATTATCATAATGAGAAACTGATACGTTCTAGTTGCTCAAGCACACCCCAAAGCTTTTGTGGTAACCTGTCTTGTACAAAAATAATTAGAGGTTGGGCAGCTGTGGGTTTTCACTGGCATTTTATTCTGTTATGGTGGTGGCGGCAGTAATTCTTGGGGGCTACTTGTTAGATATTGGAGGTGAGGTGAGGAGAGGTTTCTTCAGCTGTTGTCAGCAGAGATGTGTGGTGAGTATGCTCTTACCATCTTTCTCCATAACTACATGAAACTGTTCAAGTGCCTCACAGTTCTGCAAGCTCTTGGACCTCTCTTTGTCTTCTACTCCACGAAGCAGAGGGAGACAGCTGCCAGTGATGGGTCTGAGCAAACCCAGCTCTGACCTTCACCTAGGCACTTAAAATCTGGATCTGAATTTTCTATTTCCGAATGTTTCCTAATTGAAGAGTGGTCATATTTGGAGAAGTACCTAGTAACTTTCTTCAGCTCATTAGTTCTCATTTCTAATAACTCTTTCCTTTTATTAGGAATACATAATCCGTGTTCAGAGAGGAGTTTCAGCAGAAAACAGTTGGCAGGTAATTTCTTAAACTGTGATTCATGTAACCAGGATGCTTTTTTATGAAGAATTTGAAAATTGTCTCTTCCTAGATTTTAAATCTGAGCTGTAGAGGGAAATGTTGGTTTGGAATTGAGAACATGAAGTGCTTGAATACTTTTGGTCAAAAACTAAGACAGTATTGCTGCCAGCTACAGAAGATGTGTTGTCTGCTGCTATTGTGAACATTCCAGGAAAAATGCCTGTGGTGTTACTACTGTGTGTTGGTGCAACCATCATTTTTAAATCTCAAAAGCAGTTTGCCTTCCTTAGTGCTAAAATCGCATGCTTGCTGATACATGACCAATGAAACCTAGAAGTAGTAATGAAGGTGACTACAAAAAATTGTTGCATCAAACACGGCAAAAATTCTTTGTGCGAGGACAACTTTGCTTGCAAATATTTTTTTAAAGCTCTTTTAAGATAATGTTTAGAAACGCATTTTTGATCTGGTCGAGATGTGATTAAAAATTCTTTGTTGCTCTCCAGCAGTTGCACATTTGTACAAAAATGTTTAAAAGAAGAAGATAGTAAATGGGAATTACTTTTGTCTGATGGGATTTTGAAGAGTAAAAAGCCAATGGGAAAAGTAATATGTTTCCTGAACTTTGTCTTTATATTTTGCAGATTGTGAGGCGATACAGTGACTTTGACTTGCTTAACAATAGCTTGCAGGTAACTTTCACCCTTGATATATAAATACAAAATGTCATTTAGAAGGATATATTTAAAATGGCTTGTGATATTTTTATATATTGCAGTGAAGAAAACCCACAAATTCACGTAGCTCTACAGAGAAACTTGTGGCATCAAATCTAACTTGAATGTATACTTTTTCACTCTTATGTTTTCTCTTGTAAAATTTTAATTTTGGCATCAACAGGACCCATTTATATAGAAATAGAGGAAATTGGCAGATACTGAATCTTTTCCTTCAGTACTGTGACTTGTTCCGGTTTTATGTGTTATTATTTGTTCCTCCTTTGATTTGAAGAAAGCCAAGGCACATACCAGCCTTAAATTCAGCATTGAAGTGCTATGTGTCTCATTATTTATATTCGTCTAGAAGCACTACCAGATGCTGCTTATCATGTGATGGTTTTCTGTATCACTGGAAAGCGTTCCTTAGTTAAACACTGGACTTACTGTGTGTTTTCTTTTGCTTTTTAGGACAATTATTTCTTTTGAGTTTGTGTGGGAAAAAGCAGGGCATATGAGTGTGTTTGGGAAAAAGGGGGAAGCAGCAGTGACTGGCATCTACAGGAGTGAAACTTGTTTCTTGAGATTTCCATAGTACTGTGCAAGCAAGATAGAAAGTGAACGCTTCTGCAATTTGAGGATAGATTTTTGTGACTTTGATTCCCCCCCCCCCCCGTTAAATGTTGTGTGAATTCAAGAGCTTAACACTGCTTCCCCCCAGCCCCAGTCAAATCGGCTGTCTGCTTGATGAACCTCAGTGCCCAAAACCATGTAAGGATGTTGCGTTGTGCGCTCTCGTAGTCTACTATAACTGATTGCTATGCTAGAAGGTGTATGGGGGGACAAATTAGACATAATTCAACAGATGCAACATGGTTGCATTATGGAATTATTTTATTGAATTTGCAGTGGCACATAAGTACTTGATTTTCATGACCTAGAAACATCTTTGTGTGATGTGCTAAATAAATGCCATACAAGGATGTCTGCTGCTCCAGAGAAATCCAAGATTGAAGATCAGATAAGCACCCGTGGGAACACAGGGAAATGAGATGGTCCATGTCTGTCACAGTACATAGTGGTCATTGTAGTCTTAACCATAGCCAAATTTTGATAGAGATCACAGAGAATTTTGAGAAGGTTTTAAAAGGAAGAAAGAGTTCACTTTTGCAGCCACCTATAACAAGCTCCTCTTAACCGAGGGGAATAGAATGTGTTAAGGCATGAAAAAGCTTTGTTGCCTTCTCATTTAACTTTCAAATGAGGCAGCTTTAGTAGAAAAGGCAATGGACCTTTAAGAATTAAAATTTAGTAATGGCATGTACTGAAAGGGTAGGCCTAGGTGGAAGGTCTAGAAAGTGAAGGTAAATAGGCTATGTATGATGTAGGACAGAAAGAAAAGGCCTTTGTATCTGAGGCAGAGGTGAATGATAAAAGTGGAGGGTTCAGGAATTTATTTGATAACAACTTGCAGAGTGGGACAAGGAGGAATTTGAAAGGAGAGAGATTTTGCAGCTATAAGATATGAAAATCTGGGGCAAAAATGTCAGCTGCTTGGATGGCTAGAAAAGATCAAACAGAATCATCAAGACATACTGCTAACTTGGAGAGGGGGGTAGGCAGAGGACAGCTAAATTAGCAGGCCGTGTTCATTAGCACTTGGTCTCCTTCACTGAAAACTACTGCTCACCCCTTGGTGTTCAAACTCCTGTTTCTGCTTTCCACAGTCTGGAAAGGCAAATACGTATCTCAGCTTGGAGATAGCCTTTTCTGGTTAGTACAGAGAGCTGCCCTAAGAGGTCTAATTCTTCATTATGTTTTAAGAGCGTTTTAAGCCTTTACCAAAGATGCACAGCTCTGCTTTTGACAAACACCACTGCTCCTCCAGCCTAGTTCCATATGCCAGGGCTTGAGAGACAGCAGACAGTAGCTGGCGAGAAGCATGTTAAAATGGCTCTTTTCTCCCACTGTTTTGGAGTTTGTTATAAATTGCTCTTTGTGATGCTGTAGTTGGAGCTTTCTGGTCCGTTAAGACATGCAACACTCCTCCGTTCTTTCCATCCAGAACTCTAAGCAACAATATTTCATCACACTGTTCAGGGCCCAAGACTTGTATTTAAACTCTCTTCTCATCTTGTCTATATTGAAATTAGAGTAAATAAACAAAACTCCAAGCAAAACAAAACGCCCCCCCAAAGAAAGCCCCACAGTATAAAGCAATGAGCAATAAGAAAATACCAAAACCCAGTCTCCTTCCTTCAAAACTAAAATGTTGCTGGAAAAACTGCTGGAGCTTATTTTGGGTGTAGAGCCTCAGGTTCTTCCAGTTCTCGTGGCATACTTGACCTCTCTGTAGCTTTGGGTGGTTGTGTTTGAAGACACAGCTGCAGCTGAGTTGGAATGCAACTTTTCTGCTGTTAATCTGGTGCTACCTATGCAATAATGGTAAGGACTAAGAATTTCCACGCTGTCCAAGCAAGGGGATGCAGTCCTACCAAACACCTTGGAAATAACGAGAGCTGTATACCGGTGACCCTGATCTGCATCAGAAAGTTTCAGACCAGATTCCCTGAACTCTCAGCTGTGTACTGGATTGAAAAGCTCCTTCCAGACCATCCTGCATTTCTTCCTCTTCACTTGCTTGACAGAGATGTGTGGAGATCATTGGCTGCTCTTCTATTTTAAGTGAACTACTTACTGGTACAGTATTCACAGCAAGATATCTGGCTTTTGCGAGCATTTTATTGCAGCTTTTGAACAGACATTCCTGAGCGGGCTTTGGTTTGAAGATAAGAATGTTAATTCCCAGGTTCTTCTGTGGTGAAGCCCATCCTGGCTCCAGCGCTGAGCTGGGGCCACGAAGTACGACTTGTATTTGAAAGCATGCGAGGTCTGTGCAAGGTCAGAACCTCAGTGAGGTGTTCTTCTGTGGTAGACAGTGTTCGCACTGTGCTGTGTGTCTTGGCAGATAGCCACAAAAACCTAGGGGTGAATGTTACTTTCTGCTGAAAAATAGCAGATGTGTGGTTTATTGAAATTTTAAAACAAATAACAGTGGTTTGAAAACATCTGAACTAGAGTCCTTTTCTCTCTGATGGTAGCTAGCTGTCAGGTCAAGAAGGTAAAGGTGATTATGATTTGACGTGCTTTTCAAGTGAGTAATACCAGAAATGCATTCATTTTTCATTTAGAAACTTGTTTTTGAATTGAAGTAAAAGTCGTTTGCCAAAGGAACGTTCTGTATGCCTCTGGTGTTACAGCCAGTAATTCACCAGATTAGTTTTAAGTGGTATATTGTTGCTTTTGGGTTTATTCCTGGATATATTTTTTTCCTCTTTGGGTATAAAAGGGCATTAAAAAATGCTCAGTGGATTGGATGATTTTCATTAACATTGGTAATTCAGGCGTAATTCAGCCCATGATTTGCAGTCAGAAACAGAAGTGCTAAGGTGAGGTGAGGGACAACTCCTGTGTTCAAAAGGAGGAGGAAAAAAGGAGATGGATTGCTACTCCTGCCCCAGTTGCTTGAGCTAATCCTTTACTTTTCCCACTAGTTAAAAGGAAAGTTGTTCAAACACCAAAAAGTCACTGTCTTCTCCCTGGTGGACTGTTTACTTTAGAAATGAGGTTATTGCATCTGGTGTAATTGATTCCTGCAATACACATTTCTTAAAGATAGCTCCCATGGAGATTCAGCATACCCAAGGCAGGTGCTTTGATCTGCAGGACAACGATGTGTTAACAACATGAAAAAAATATTCTGGCGATTCACATGATGTAATAGAATGTAAACACTGCGTGCAACCTAGTTTTGTTTTCTAAAGCTGATCTCTTTGATCTGACTTACATAAGGCTTTGAATTTCTGTACATTTTTTCATCGTCCTATTTCAAAGTATTTCTCTGATTTTTATCTGAAGTTTTGGATCACTTATGTCAACAGAAAACAGCTTCTGCACGTCCATTGGTAGATGCAGCTCTGGCTGGGTGGCAAGATGTATAGCTGTTCAAAAACTGTACAGCAATAAGTTTGGAAGAGAAAATGGAAAAGTTGCACCATATTTGAAATTACAGATTTAAAATACTGACCGTAAGGGCTTTAAATTACCGATAAAGGCAGTAGAGGCAAAGGAAAGTTATTAATCTGCACTTCATGAAATAAGAAAACATAAACCTTATCTGGAGAAAATGGTAAAGTGTGAATTGTTTTTGTGCTGTGGTGGTGGTAGGTCATAGAAAGGATTTGGCTGAAAATTGTAGCCATTTAGTATCTGAAACTTTTCTGTAGTGAACTTAAATGCATGAATCACTAGCAAAAATTTATCTTCTCGCATTTTCAGTGTCATTCGACTTACTAAGCTCTTCACAGTGGGATGCAAGCTGTTGTCTGACTAGCTCACCCTGATAACAGTACTTAGAAAAAACATAAAAGCTTGTATAGACACAGTACAAAAAGAGTTACCCAGTAGTTAGCTTGCTGCTGAGATTCTTTCACTTTCTGGGTTGCTAGTTTATATCCCTGAGGCATTTTGAGAGCAAGGTTAGTAATTTTTTCTCTCTTTTTAAGATCTCAACTCTCAGTCTACCTCTTCCTCCAAAAAAATTGATTGGAAACATGGAGCGTGAATTCATAGCTGAAAGACAGAAGGGACTCCAGGCCTATCTCGATGTAATTACTACCCATCACATCCTGTCTAACTGTGAATTGGTAAAAAAATTCTTGGACCCAAACAGCTATTCTGTAAACTACACTGGTAAGTGAGGAATTGCAAAACTGCATTACAGTTTCACTTTAGCAAGCGTGTATGTCTTCCATTCGTGCTGGCAAGGATTTACATTGAAGCATGGGGGGCAGATGGGGGAAACAACCTTCCAAATTATCACTCTGTGCATGTGATTATTTATGATAAAGTTTCTCCAACTCTGCATGAATCATGCTGCGATTGTCAAATCTAAATATTTGAAATATTTTATAGCGGAGTGATGAGGGTCAAGATCTGTGTAGGGAGAACTTGGGGGAGGGGGGTTGGTGAGAGTGACATCTACTTTTTCACAGTTTGTGATAAAAGGGGAGTGTTGGTGTTTGGAAGTTACTTGTCTACCAGAATGTAAGGTGGAGTTAAGTTTTTCAGCTCTGCGTTCTGTTAAAGCAGCCGGTTGTCTGCACACTGAAACTTGCATTTGTCGCGGTTCTGAAGTTTTTCAAATCAACAGGAACGATTGTGGTCATCTTGTCTAGCTCCTGCTGTCACTTTGGGTTGTAAGACTTCCTAGAACTACTTGTTTGAGCTAGGTTGAGTACTTTTTCAAGGCTTGAATAAGTCCTGTCCTGTCCCGTCCGTGTCCGTCCCTCTCCGTCCCCCCCCAAGTACTAGAAAATCACTTGCATCCCTTAAAATGATATCCCAGTGATCAGTTCTCTTCATTACTAAATGTTTCTTCTTTGGATTTGTCTGGCATCAGCTACTGGAAATTGTTAAATATTTGTCATACAGACTGAAAAAAAACTTCCTCTTAGTGGTGAAACCCACTCCACAGATACAGTTCATGGGCAAACTGACTCTTTGCAAAATGCAAAGCTTGTTTTCATAAAAGCAGAGCCTACTGAAGCAGGAACTTACTGTTTCCTTTTCACTTGTCTCTTTGCTCTCCCTTTATGTAACGGTCTTGTATCTCCAGCCTCAGAACGCAAAGAACATTTCCCGGATGTTTATGATAAGCTGTGGAGGAGTTGTAAATTACTAGTAACTCTTTAAGGATGCAGTTTGTCTGGCTAATGCTGAGCAAGCAATTTAAATTTTCGAGGAGACACCGTGACTTCTGTGTTAATTCTGAGCACGTTCATCACGATTGTTTTTTCAGCAAGTTGCAGGGAAGTTAGTAGCAATCGAGTCATTGCCTATGGTCTTTGGAAACACTTAAAAAAATGACAAACTGATGGTATTGGAGCACTGAGCTGACACCTATTGCACTGTTGTCTCTTTTTTGCCTAGCCTTTTTTTGGAGAGAGACGATACAGTGCAGAAAGATTGGTGCATCCTTACCTTTTTGCTGTGTTTCTACGCCAAGATAAGCCATGCTAGAGAAAACTCCTTGTTGGCATGATTCCCTTTCTCCCCATGCTGTCACCACTTCTCACTGAGATTTCCCCTCAGATCACTTCATGAATAAACCACTTGTGTTCCCAGCTGTGAGAGAGTTCAGTAACCAGAAGGGTGACCTCCCTCCCCTCACCCAAAATATGTGTTGGATCATGATAGCTAGCAAAATAACGTTAGCCTGCAAAGAAAAGGGCAGATTAACACATAGTGAAACAGAGCTGATAAGTTTACATATAGTAATGGCAATGTAGATGAACATTAAAAAGATGTAAAAGTTAGCACTTTTACAGGTATAGCAGAAACATTTCGTGATCAAATACAGTGTGGGGAATCATCACTGTGAGCATTGGATTTGGACTTGGAAATGTAGATCTAGTGCAGACAGAATGCAAACTCAATAAGCTAAGTTTTTTAAAGGCAGTGCTTTCTGTTTTCTCTGTGGATTTGAGCTCTCAGGTTAAAAATGCAAACGCCCTATAACTGTGTTTTTATCTGATTTCCTTTTAAAGTGATTTTGCTGACTTTCAGCCTGAATCCCTGCAGGCTTCCTTCTGGCATTGAACCTTACCTGACATGTAAATCATCTTAAATAGTCTCTTACAAACTTTTTTTTTTTCTTTCCAGAAATTGCCTTACAGCATGTTTCAATGTTCTTCCGATCAGAGCCAAAGTGGGAAGTGGTAGAACCATTAAAAGATATAGGTAAGAAGAGCATGCATGCAACGCAACTAGTCTGATATTTTTTTCCAACTATACAAGTTGTCCCAAGATTACAATACTATCTTTGCTTACAGACCTCCTCCTCCCTGTAAGCCATGTGATTTAGTAGTGTTTTAATGAAAGCTGTTGATGTCTCTTGTTTTGTAGGTTGGCGAATACGAAAGAAATATTTCTTAATGAAGATTAAGAATCAACCAAAGGAACGGCTGATGTTAAGCTGGGTATATATACTTTCATCTCATACTCAAGTCTTTCTTAATGAACCTGGTTTATTTCATTTATTTTGGCTACCGTGCAGGAGTGGCAGAGAGATAGTCTTAACAGCTCAGGCTTTGAAAGAGGCTTGAAAGCCCTTAGGTGGATGTGTGGCGTGGGAACTTCTTATGTTTCTTTCCTCTGGTGGCAAATCCAGTTTGCAAGTTTCTGTGCCTGTTCATTTGTTCCTATTCCTGCACCTCTGTTTCTTCAGTTGTGATGACGTTGACCATAGTATAAATTCGCTCACTGAAAATAACAAAGTGATCCTTTTTAAAGTGGTGGGTTTCCTTCCTTGGATCTTTAGTTTTACTGACAAACTGATAGGTGAGAGAGGCGTGAATAGCTCCTTTAAGGCAGGCATGTATTGACACCAAATAGTTTGTTGTTACTAAACACTTGCTTGTGTTCCTGTGCTGAAAGGTGCTGCCCTCTTAATTATATCAGCATAGCTGTTTGTGAGACCTCACTAGAAAGCGGATGCCACTAAAGCCTGCAGTAGGAGGGAAGTTTTTCTTGCTGGAGAGGAAGAAGGTGGGGATTTAAGCCTTATCAGTTCACAATACACACAGTCCCCAAGTTTGGGGTTGGCAGAGTTCATTCAGTGGTAGTAGTGCACATCAGATACGGGATGGGGAAGGAGGCAATAATACTTAATTACTGTCAGGCACTTTGTATTGTGAAACCATGGCTTTATTCAGCCTCTTCAAATTTCATTCTGTGTGTGTAATTTCTTTGCTTGCTCTTCGAAATATATCTTCAAGCAGCTGTCTTAATTTGTGACAGCAGAATATAGATCACACTTTCGCTATGGAATGCAACATCTATTATGATGCCATTCTTTTCCTATTTATTTCCAGGCTGATCTTGGCCCTGATAAATACTTGTCTGACAAAGACTTACAGTATGCTGTGAAACTTCTTTCTTCCTGTTCTGTGAGTATTACTTGAAGACTTTTAAATTGTGCCAGCACAAAAGCGCTTGTCAAGGACTGATCTTGCAAAAGCACATATAGCCTAGTAGACATAGTTTGTAATTTTAGCGTTGCTTTGATTTAAAGATGTGTGAACCTTTTAATTACATTTCCCACGCAATATGAGGTAATGTGTTCTCAGCACAAATAATAATCCTGCAGGGTTATTACAGGAGATTGAGTTGTGGTTAATTTTATTTTTTTCTTGTTGTGCAGTAGTGTGAGATCATGAGCTTTTATTTCAGCTCCTGAACACTTTTAGGCTGTTAGGATAGTGCTGTCTAGGTGTAATTGGTAACCCGTGTTCTGGGGTTATTCTCAGGCAGCAGTGAATAAGGCAGTGCAACAAGTGTCATTATTTTTTCAGCTTCTTGAACTTAAGACAGGAGTATCTTAGTAGAGGTACAGTGGAGGTTGTCCAATTTAAGCTCCTGTGCAATGCCACGTCATAAATCCAATAGGCATCTCTGTCTGAAAAACTGGCGTTTGACTCCAAAGGAGTTTCTCTTTAAGGATGTTAACATGTCAGAGACTGGCTGAAAAGGATGGTGTTTAAACTGGTAAACCTCTGCGCAGTCTTGGAACTCAGCAGATGCGCACAACAGGAGAGGCTGAAAACCAGACTTTTCAACCCCCAAACCAGACTGAAACTGATGTATTAAAATAGGATGTCAACAAGGGGTCTTTTCCTAACTTGCAATTTCAATCAAAATATGCATTGCACGTGTAATTTATTTCCAACTGTGCTGTCTCATTTGGTTTCACAAAGTTGCAGGAAGTCGTTATAATAATTTCTGAAGATGTAAAACTGTTATGACAGCTATTAATGCCAAGTTTTCTTATGTGCCATAGTTGTATAAAACCATGAATGAATTTATTAGCTTAGCATGACTTAAACCTGCAGGAAAGCTGCTCATGTATAAGTATGAATGGGGCTGGATTCTTCATTTGTCTCAACTGCCAGTCTGTTTTGTTAAAAAAAGATGGTGGATTCTTTTTATTTTATTATTTATGTGGAAATTGAACAATGTTCTTGTGAAGTTTTCTTTGCATTTACTCCAGGTTGAGACTGAATAGCTTGAGCAAATGTCACTGACAGAATCCAGTTTATTACTTTAAATATACAATTGACGCAGATCTTTTCTTACTCGGGAATCGAGCAAAAATGAAGTACAGAATCTGTCATCTAAAACTTACTTACAGTTTCTTCTTTTGGTAGCATCCTTATATTTACAAAATCACTTTTGCCACTGCCAATGAATCTTCAGCGCTGGTTATTAGACCGTTCAGTGAAAAAGGGACACTAAAGGACCTTATTTATAAGGTAAGGTCTCCCTCTCCTGCCCCCAACTCAAATGGTAGAATGTTTGCCGGAATGACCACAGTATGTCTTTTATAAAACTGTTCACCACCTCTATTGCTAAGCAAACTAAGACAATTAATGGCTTTTCTGGTCATGATCTTGACATGTGTGTTTCCTTTATAGGCAAAGCCAAAAGACCCATTCCTGAAGAAGTACTGCAATCCTAAAAAAATTCAAGGCCTTGAACTTCAGCAAATAAAAACATATGGAAGGCAAATATTAGAGGTATTTTTTTTGCTTTATTTACCAGCCTTTGTGATCTTTTTTTTTTCTTTAGGCCAACTGGTTTAACAAGAAAAAGTAGACAAACTTCTGAGCACGTAAGCCTTATTTCAGCAGCAGACTTCAAAGCTAAATGTAAATTGAGATGAGCTGCTGGGAGTTGAATTTAGATGCATATTTGAGGCCATTTCTGACCAAAAAAAAAAAAAAAAGAAAAAGGGAGTTGGTATATGTGGAGCTTAAATGGGAGAGAGGTGATAATGTGTTTTTTTTCCTTGTGGAAAAAGGGAAAGAAGTAATTCACAGCCTGCAGAACACGTGCCATAAATTCATTCTAATTAATGTGGTTTTTAAAATTTTTTATTCAAACTATGATATTCAGTAGAATTGTGAATTTTACTTTCCAGAGCTCTTTGGGAGGTGTCTGTTAGCATGCTTTGAGGATCAGCATCAAATGTTTGTTTTGTGAGAAATGCTACCCGTGAAATGGAAATGAATAGTCAGCCAAAGATGATGTAGATAGAAGACCAAGTTGAGCAAGCATTCCAAATAGGGACCTTGTTTGTTATGTATCTGCTTTAGCATTGGAGCATTTAAGATCTTGAGGTCATCAGAGCATCTTATGACAGTGCTTCTGTATCGGATTTTTTTCAGGTATTAAAATTCTTGCATGAGAAAGGATTTCCTTATGGCCATCTTCACTCTGCCAATGTGATGTTGGATGGGGACACCTGCAAGTTACTGGATCTAGAAAATTCCTTGTTGGGACTTCCATCATTTTATCGATCATACTTTTCACAGTTTCGGAAAATTAATGTAAGATTCCGGAAATTAATTCAGCTGACTCTTATGCATCCCTTTATCCTCAACTTCTGTTTGTGGAGAACTGACTAGAATGAAAAAAACCTCTCTCAACCCCCTTTCTTTAATCTGAGGTTTTCTCCATCAAATCCCTTTTCTGCTTCCTCCAAATCACTGTCTGGCTGCACACAAGTTTTGTTGCAGCACACTGGAGTGAGGCTGAGGCCAAAGGTGAGCAGGTGGAAGGGGAGTGCAGGTGAGTGCTTTTGTGGCAGCAGTGCTGGCACAAATGGAAGTAAACTGCAGTTGTTTTAAGATCTCTTTCCACCCTGGTCTCGTATTTCCTAGGAATGTGCATATTGCCTACCACACTTTTTCACTTGTATGTCTGTACAATGAGTGCAGCTTATTACCTGGTCTTAGCTGGGAGTAGTAATCAGCCTTGTCTTTGGTGGATACTGTGAAAATTGATTAGAAGCTTGCAGACGTCTAGCTATTAAAAGCTGTTTTTTATTTGTTTGAAGGGTGTCTCTTAACTGCAGTCTTGCAAAGCAAAATATTATCTTCCTACAAAAAAATGAAAACAATTTTCCCCTGTTGCAGCAATACAGTCTTTTAGCCAGCATCTTGTCCTGCCTTTAAGTGCTCATTGTAGTAAATTCCATACAGCATCACGAGACAGCTGCTTGCTGACCTTGCTAAACAAGTTCTACTGTGTTGTCAAAGAAACGATCAAAAGTTCATGGTTAGTCCAAATCTGTTAGTGCCATCAAAGCTCTGAGCCTCTTCCAGTAAGAGGAGCCATTTCTGTTTAAACATGATTCAAAAATCTTGGAAATATGCTGTCTGGGAGCTTAGCTTGTTATGCACAGCTTGTACAAACCTAAGGAGGAGTGAAAGAGGCTCTCCTAGGTTTGTTTGGCATGTATTTTTGCTGTTTTTTTATCTACCTCCCTGTAAAGTGGGAGCTGGTAATATTATGAATCTTATTCTTTACTGTTTGACTTAGCTAGCAAAATGTGCTTGGCTGTGATTTGTATCAATTTATGGCTCTCAACTTCTGTGCATGAGAAGAGTGTACTACTTTATGCATTTTTACAGAACATGACTATACCGCTATCCCATTTATATCATCACATACAGCAGTAGCTGCTTTTGCTTGAGGTGTGAAGATTTCATTTGAGCTAAAGTTACGCAGGGATGTGGTTGTGGTTACAAACTGTCTTAATGGTTCCTCTCTTCTGTCTTCAAATGCAGGACCACTCCTTTTCTTTAATGGGTCATTGTGTGTTTTCAAACCACTTGTGAAAAACTGATTAGTTCTAGCAAGTTGTGTTTTTATTTTTTTTGTTCCTCTGCAGACTTTAGAAGGTGTTGATGTATATTGCTTTGGGCACTTACTGTATGAAATGACATATGGAAGACCCCCAGATACGATTCCAGTAGACAGCTTCCCTCCTGCACCGTCGGTGTTTGTTGGTCAGTACACAATTGAGAAAATGTCGATCTCAGCTTCCTGGGTACTCTTACCTTTTACCTAAGCTGAAGTGCTGTGAAATAGCAGCCGAAGATCTTTGCAGCCTGTGACTGGAAAGTCTTGTTTAGTAATCTTTAAAAAACAAAATGTGTTCTTCCTGAAATATACGTAGCATATAATTTTTTTAACTGAGTGATAAAACAGTGTGTAGGAAGTAATTAGATGTCTGGATTCCCTCGCCTCATGTCTAACATTCTTGAAAAGTTTGTATGTGTAATAGTAACATTATAATAAAAAACACATGCCACAGAGCTGCATCACTTTTTAGTTGATGCGGTACTTAGGGGAACATCATGTGGCCGTGCCAGATGTTCATTCTAAATCATTTGCTATCCTGCAGTGCAAAAATGTGTTCATTCTTATTATTTCTTTGGTAGTGTCTGTGTTGGAATCCATTCTGACCTGTGAAGCTATGAAGAATGGCATGCCAACTGTTTCACGGCTCTTACAGATGCCGTAAGTCTTGTTTTACTTGTTTTATCCACATAGCAATGTTTTTAATTATATTAGGCGGAAGAACCTTTTTGCTCTTGTTCCTTTTAAGAAAGATTTGCTCATCGTTCTGAGGGATGTAGTGTATTCCAAATGAAGCTTTAAAATTGTTTGGCTTTATAGAACCCATCCCTTGTTAATGTGATAGATGCTCATTTAACGTTTCTTTCTCTCTTGGTGTGTTGGAGCTGTCAAGAATGCATTTTGTTTAGTATGGTGCTATGGTTTAAATTGATCCAGCTATTAAAGTACTGCAAGCATGTTTGAGATCATATACAGGTTGTTTTAAAGCATTTAGAACAAAGAGTGTTTTTGCATGTACCATTCAGACCTACTTTGGTAGATTTTGCTATCAGTTTACTCATGACTAGCAGAATAGATCTGCTTTGCTCAGCAGTGACATTTAGATGGGGTCTGGGTGTGAAACATTATGCAGAGGTTCTGGCTGGTTTCTTGCAGGGCTGGCTTAGGGATTCTCTGAAGCACAGACAGAATGTATTTCCTTACAGGATCTCCTCCCAGCGATTCGGTGAAGTGGTAAAGGCAGGTACAGAGCAAGATTAGGATGCAGAAAGGGAGCAATGTCAGTGCATGACTGACTTGGAGGTCATACTTGTCTGCAGTGCCACCCTTCCTGCAATTAGGAGGCAATATTACCAGGGAAATTGTCTGCTGTCACTGTGCTGTGACGTGTCACCAGTATGCTGAGCATAGAAGCACAGCTACTGGTGGGGGGTTCTTTTGTGTTTTCTTGATCCAAGGTGCCAGAGTCATGACCTTATAAATGACAGATTGCCCATACCTAAATCTGGGTCTGATCTCACAGTATACAGATTGCAGTACGCTTAGAGCATGCTCCAAGATTCATATTTCCTGGTTGGGAAGAGTCACTGCTGGCTTGTCTCAGCCTTCGATTCCTTCTACTCCTGCCTTCCTCTGGTCTTAAAGGAGGTGGGAGGTAGAGAGGAGAATGTAGGCAGGGGAGAAATACTATAAGACAACTCCGTGAATACAGGAATATACAGGTCTTAAAAGATGCTGAACAAACAATCTGTGCGCTGCTGTATCTGATATATAGGTCTATATACTACATTCCCTTCATACCAATACTCTTCACAAGTGTTCTATGTAGATGTGCAATGCAATTAATGTAAGTATTTATTAAGCTTTATTATTTATTATAACCATATAAACTGTGAATTTGCTTAATTTTGCAAGTACATGTAATCAGAAAAGGTCAGGAAAATGCCCTGTAAACAAGGGTGAATATTCATGGTTTTTTTTTAAAAAAAAAAAAAATTAAAAATTTGATTTATATCTGAGTGTTTCATGGAATACTATTCTTATAAACTTGATTCTAGACTTGAATTTGTTTTCTCTAGCATAGGCCTGTGATCATTTTCCATAGTGAATAGCAACAAAAAAATCTCTGAAATCTTTATCTCAGAGCCAGGGATATCTCAGATCTCTTTCTGGGACAGTTTTCTAGTATGTTCTCCGGAACAAAGTATCTTGAAATGGACTAACCAGTTTATTTTCAGACTACCATTGCCCTCTAGTGTCTTTGTTTTGGATGGAAAAGGATTAATCATTTATTCTGTTGCTGCTGATACTCTAGAGGGGAGAGCAAAAAATATTAGAATATTTGCTTTGGTCGCGTTTGCCAGAGTACAGACAAGAATGCAGATATTTTCAAATGTTAAGTTCACTCATTGATCTTTCACATGGTTCTTGCTAATGCTAAAACAACAGTTGTGCTAAGAGAGTTTTCTTAAAATGAGGGATGATTTTGTTTAGGTGTAACTTAAAGCCCCTGGTAATCTTTTGTCACTAAAGAATCCATATACTTTTAAGGAAAAGTCATTCTTGTTTTGGGGAAACTCTTCTCTGCCTTTGATAATTGTACCTGTTCTATCAGCTTTCAAAATATTCCGCACAGCCTTGCTTACTCTGCCATCAGTAGTGGCTACATTCTGAGGGTTGGATGCTGCTAATTTTACAGCAGTGCTTGGAAAATAAAAAGCAGTTCATTAAAACCTGGGGAAAAAACCCAAACAGTGGCATAGAGATGAGGACAGAGAAGGAGAAGGAGGGAGTTAAGCAAATAGTACCAGTAGTATTCTTGCTGTGGTTTTGCCTGTCTCTTGGGAGTAATATTTCTTTTTTTTTTTTTTTTCTTTTTTCATCTACTCACAGATTATTCAGTGACGTCCTGCTAACAAACTCTGAGAAACCACAGTTTAAGGTAGAGTTGAACGTTGATTTGTTGATGTTTGTGGGTAGCTGTTGATGGGCTGTGGGTAGCTACGCGCTAGTCGTCAGACAGGGTAGAGGAGAGCTGACTTTATGGCAATTGCTATCAGTATTTAGATTCCGTTGCTGAATTGTACCAAAGAACTCTATATCACCCCTTAGGAGGGAGGCACAGTGTCACCCATGAGTGTTCAAGTGCCTTTTCTGTCCTGGAGCTCATTTGCGTCACTAATGATAGCACTGCATCTGAGCAGAGGTTGCTAAGTAATGTGGGTCCCTTCCAGTGAGTGGAAATGAATTGGTAAGACCTGTGGAAGCTGATTTTGCTAGGTGAGACCACCACCACATTGCTGCTAGCTCCAGCGCTGCAGTGCTGGGGCTTTGCAGAGCCACATCTGCTCCCATTGGGGGGCTGCCCCAGAGCATTTCTCCTGGTGGACACGTGCTGTTTGTCTCGTGTTATCAGCCTCATGGCAGTTTGGGGATGTGACTGGAGTATCAAAACAATTAGCTGTCCCTGCCATTAGAGTATCCCTTCCATTATTTCCAGTGTTTCTTTGACCCTGCTGTTAGATCTGTAGCTAGGTTTGGAGTGGAAAACATGCATCTAGATTCTTCTTTTCCCTTTCACTAAGGGAATAGTGTCAGTGCTTGGGGCTTTAGATGGGCAACAGGATCAGATGAATGGTGAGTTTTGAGCTGTTAAGTTATGTTTTCCTTTATCATGTTTTGTGCTGTGATTATTTTTTTTTTCCCTGTTTTGTATTAGATTCCTACTAAGTTAAAAGAGGCATTGAAAACCTCCAAGGAATGCATAGAAAAACGATTAACAGAAGAACAGAAATTGGTAACGTCCGCATTTCTTTACTGTATTTCCTACAGACATTCCATTTCCTCATATCACTTTTACATGGGGAAAGTGAGTTTTTACTCACTGAAAGTAATTTTGAGTAATAAAGGCTTTCATCAACAGATTTGCTTTCCCCAAAATGGAGTATGAGGAGTTGTAGAACAGCTTTTGACTGAATGGCATTTCACGGTTTTAAGTGGTGCAGCTTCACAGGCAGTGGCTCCTAAATTAAAGGATCATTTTAAATGCCGTATGAGACTCCATCCCCTACCAGCAACAGTAAAGATAAAAACTAAAAGTGAAAAAGAAAACTGAACAAGGAGAATGACTACAGTGTGTTTTCTCGCACCCTAAACACGCTTTGTCTGAGAACTTCTAAGATCTTAACATGGTCTTTTTCTGTTTTCCCTTCATTTTGAAGATTCACCAGCACAGAAGGCTGACAAGAGCTCAGTCTCATCATGGCTCTGAAGAAGAAAAAAAGAAAAGGAAGATCTTAGCACGAAAAGTAAGAAATCTTTAAACAGGTTTTTCACACAGAAAAAGACGTGTATCTTTTTTGAATGTATAGCTTGTACAACCATGGGAACACTGATCTATTCTGTCCTGGGGTTTTCTGTACTACTTCCTGATTATTTTCACTTCTGTAGCTGAACAATACACTTCCTAAGAACTTTAAGTTACAATGGTAGCTGACTTGTGTATTGGTTTAACCTGTTGGAGGTTGTGGTATGAAAACGGGCTTTGTTAGCCCCTCACGTACAGATGGCAGCCCGGGCTGCTTCCTGCTGCCTGGTGAGGATATTGGAACCTTTTTTTAGTCTGCTCCTGCAGCACGCTGCCTGTGTTTCTCTTCCTTTTTGTGGGTCAGCTTTCTGCCTTTCCCTTGTGGTCAGAGGACACTGGAGTTGCCCTCCTTGCTTACTTGGAGATATCTAAGTGCAGAACAGCCTTGCTGCTATTGTCATCATTGCAGCACGTGTCGGTTGCGGGGAGAGGGATGCTGGGCGTGGATAAACCTTGTGTGATACAGTGGATGGCTGTTACAAATCTGTGTGTCAGTTCAATCCTTATCATGGAAAGCAATTATTTATTCCCATCTTTTGTTTCTTTTGCTCTTTTTTTAAAGAAGTCGAAACGCTCTGCCTATGAAAGTGGGGAAGAACACTCAGCAAAATACAGCAACTCAAATAACTCAGGTAACTACAAAGAGAAGACCTTACTTCTGCACAGCTATGTCAATGTTTTTGTTGTTGCTGTCATTTTCTGGCTTAAAAGATCCAGGGTCAACATCAGTTTACACATTAGTATTGGACTACCAGAGCCTGATAACACTGTTTTGGCTATTTAATAATAGATAAACCTAGGGCTGAAAAATATTGTCAGTGTTAAATTTTCAGCTGCCTTATATAAAGCAATGTGTCCTCTCTTCTGTGCCCCGTTCCTCCAAAATAAAAATCAGCCTCTTCATTCTGTTTGACATTTGAGTGGAATAATAATAACATCCATTATTTGGGCCATTTAATAATGCAGCCTTCAGGGAGGAACTCTGTGGTGATCTGTATTCCGTAGTAAGGTGCTAAGATGAATAAGAAAGTTATATCTGTTTAATTCAGTGCCAAATTCTAAAACAACAGAGCCTTTGACAGGTCTTTATTAAGTTAAAAGGAATGGTTGGTACTACTGAACAGTTTAACAGAGTTGACTTGCCTGGCTAAAATGTGTCCAAAAGCAGCCTCTAGTGGAATAGTCAGATATCAGAGTAACTTGTGGAGTATAGCAACTGACTGAAAATCATCTCTTATAAGGAGAAATGGGGTGCCATCCGTGCAGTGGCACAACTCTTAAGGAGAACAGAATTTGGATGCTGAAATCCAACAGCCTAAGCAACAGAAAAGAAGTGTTTCCCATTGAGGAATACTGCTGAGTGCTCTTCTTAGTGTTTGGACCTCCTCTGATACTGTGTACTGTTAAGTCTCTCTGTTCAGATCGGGTCTGAGTGACGCTGTTCGTATGAATGGGAATGTTTCCCAAGATTTCAGTGGAAGCAAGACTGGATCTTCAGTCAATAAAGTTGGCCTGTTTCCAAAAATTTGTCTTGTCTGATTGTGTTGAATTTTAACATCACAGCTTTAGTTACTAGACTGTTGTTTTATTTAGCAGGCTCTGGGGCGAGTTCCCCATTAACATCTCCATCATCCCCCACTCCGCCCTCTACAGCAGGTAAGTTCTAGAGTCATTACAGTGTTTGTCTTTTTTTCTTTGTTTTTTATTCCGTCACCCCTGCCCCTGTGGGTGTTATTCGTCACCCTGAATAACTGTGGGTGTTATTCCCAAGGATGGCTGAGGGATGGTGGTTTTCAAGGGTAGAACACAGAGATGACATTTATTTTGTGGCAGCCTAAGCGTAGGCATTTTCTGTCTTTTGAGGGCCATAGAGAACCTTTTAGTACTGTTCTTTTTCATTTAGTAACCTTTCTTAAGATACACATGGTATGATTTACCCATAGAGTATAAGTGCCGACTTCAAAGTCTATTACTCCAGTCCTATCGACGTTGCTACTTTCCAGACATTTTCTGGCCCTCGTGTTGCAGTATGGCTTTGTTCTGATGTTAATGGTCTGTTGTCTCTGAAGTACTGTTTGTTGATCCGTTGGTTTTGTGTATTGTCTCTTTACCCTGTACCGTACCGCTGTGGTGTAGCTTCGGGAATTTTGGGTGTGACAAATTCAGTGGCTTAAGCTGCCTAAATCTCCCCTGTTCTGCTCCAGCCCATTGATAACACCAGCAGAACTGAAGGAACAAGTCAGAAACTGATTTGGGTTAAAAATAATATATTTATTATTTGTGGCCAGTTCCCTTTTCCAATTTGCTAGGCTGCTGTGCAAACAGTTTTTCTAATGTTTAGGACAGGTGGTGGAAAGTGGTGAAGAATCTGCTTGAGTGGGCAATAGAGATGCTCATGAAAGTTTGATTACAAATCTGAATATTGAGCAACAGTGCACGTGCTTCAGTCTGGAAGTCTAGAAGAGGAGATCTGGCAAAGACTAACAGCAAAAGGTGTTAATGGAATACATTTCTAGAAGGGAAGCAGTCTGTAGCATTGCTGTTTGTTATGATGACTCATGTCGTATGATTCCTAGTCCCAGGAACTTTCTACAGGGCAGAACTTGTTAACTGAAGCGATGCAATCCAATTTGTGTTTGCTATGGATGGTCTTTCAAAGGACACTGTAGTCTGTGTGATGTAATTCAAATCAGTCATGCTGAAATTCAAATTAGTCATTTCTCCTTCAAGTTGAGGGTATATTGAAGTGCATATTATATGAACTAACTTCTCCCAGTTAGTCTAAACAAGATAATTACTGTTATTGTGTTGCACAATGACAGCGCTGTTCTATGGATGTACTGACTCTTAGCCTGGAGGGTTTATTTCACGTTCTGCATGCTTTAATAAGGAGGAAGCTGAAAATGCAAAAGAAAACCTTATTTCTCCAAAATGGACAGGTGTTTAGAAAACACTTTGTCTGCAATAAAACTACCTTTTACTTAAGTTTTTAACACATTGGAACTTGGTTGAAAGCTTTTTCAAGTTTTGAGCATGTGATGCAAGTTTATGTGTAGACGTTGCTCAAATGGCTAAAAATTACTCAGGTTTGGGCTCAAAACTTGGCTCTGTTCGAACCACATTGTCACAGCGTGTTGGTCATCCTGCTACCAGTGTGCTCATGGTGACCTGTGGTGAATGGCCCCGTTTGACACTGTGCACATTGCCCTACCCACGTTCAAACTGGAAAGTGCTTTAGCGTGCTGAGGGCTTTGATGCATTTGATCAGGGGTGAAGACAGGTGTCACCATTTCAGGAGTGTTTTTGTGAGTAGAATTCATAGAAGAAACTTAAGGTACTTGTTCTAAGAGAAAGCTAGTATGCCTGATAATTTTAACCAGCAATATTGTACTTTCATCTATTCTAAGCAAGTATGCCATTACTGACTCGATGAAAGACTCGTTGGTCCCATGGCAGGACCTTCTTTGTGACCATTGATGCATCTCTAGCCTGTATCTCTCTCTTCCAGATGCCTTGTACTTACTAAGGATAATTTACCTCTAAACCAAAATTGCTTGTGGGTATCAGTGTGGTGAGATCACTGTCAGAAGGGGAATGAGGCTTTCAGTCTGTCTCTCTGGTTTGGTTGTGGTTGTGTTACAATCATGGTATGTCAAAGCATCTTGCGGTTACGATGCCATGGCAAAACGAAGGCTGACGTGGAAAAATGTGCCCAACAGAAGCTCTTGCCCTCGTCCTGGCCTGTAACTAACCAAATTAATGTATTGTGTGGGTGGGTTTGCACGGAGCCAGAGACACTGACCAGAGGGCAATGGGCTCCAGGCTGACTTGCCCTGGGGGGAAGTAACCTCCTTCAGGGTGTTTCTCACAGGTTGAGATGTGCTTTGTCTCTGAACAAAGGCCTCGCCAGACTTAGCTTGCAGTGGAGCGTACTAAGAAAGAAAATGATTGCTGGCTTCAGCTGTCTTTGTAAGGCTAGCTGCAACTGTAGGATCGAATGCACTACCTGCTTTGAGGGGAAAGGTGTCTACTAGAAATGTAGGCTCTCGTGGGCTATTCTCATCGACCAAAGTGTTTTGGGCTGGTTTTATTGCAGATACTTGGCTAAATGTCATCTTTGAAATACATTGTTTGGATCATGGCAAGTGATTCTAATGTAACTTACTGTGTTTCTGACATTCTCCCTTGAATGTTTGATTCTTTTTTCTCCACTTGCACAATTCTTTGCTTTCTTGAAAAACTTATTTTTCTTTGCGGCTATGAGCTGTGGATAGGATCAGGAGGGACGTAGAACACTGTGGTATGGGTTATTTGAAGCTTCACTGCATCTTCTCTGAATCCAGTAAACCCATAAAATACCAGCGAGCTCTCTTACAATAGAGAAAAGTTTGGAGGGTGTCATTTTTGCTTCCCCGGGCTTCCCTGTGGGAATAAAGTGAAAGAGTTGAACTTAACTTCAGCTGTCTTTTTCTGTGCCAGTAGTTCTGAATCCTTCAGTATGACATATGTTTCATAGACATCCATGTGGTGCACCTTTTCTGCCCTTCACCTTTCTGTAAGACAATTTGAATGCTTTAGTAAGTGCTCTTTTTGAGCGTCTCTGACCTCTGCAGTGTAAGTGGAAATACAGGTGTTAATACGACAGGAAGCGTTCCTTGAAGGGAATGGATTTCATCTTCTATGGCTAATCTTCCTGCAGATTTCTTGCTAAATCTCTCTAAATGCACTTTAATCCTGTTAAGCTTGAATTATGGCATGTGCAACTGAAAGCATGTGTGTTGTATTTGTTCATCAAGTATAATAATGCTTATAGCATGGAAAACTGTGTTTAGTTATTCAGAATCAGACATATTGTATACGTAATATGAAACAGTCAATCTGCTATCCTCATATTTGTCAATGAATAAGAATGTAATTGATTTTTGTACTAACTTTTCAGCTAACAGTATCTGTTTTTCTTACTTTGACACGAGAACCGGATGATTAACTTGTGTCCTCTCTCTTTCTCTGCTGTCTTCAATAGAGCATGCATCATTTTGAACGTGAATTTTCGGAAAAGTAAGCTAATGCTGATTTATCTCTTTAAAGATGCTCTGTTTCTGTATGGGAAAGTTGAATGCGAATCTTGAACTTGCTTAGTATTGGGAGGGAATAGAAGAAAAAAATCTGAACATTCTTATGGATTATTTTAATGAAATACAGCATCTTTAAAAACTCTATCACTAAAATGATTTTCTTTGTTTGCATCCCATTCTCCGCCAAGTTTTTAATGCTGTTTGCACAATTACTGTCACTTTAAATTCATAATTAAGTTTTTGTTTCAATTCAGGCATCAAGTTTACAGCATCTGATTTACTTCCTATTCCTTTTAACACACTTTCTTAACAAAAATGTCCCTGTAAAAAAAACGTGGTAAGTTCTTGTTTGAGTGTTTTATTCTTACAACTGCATGAATGAGTAAAACGTGTGTTTGCAGGCACCTTCTTCCAACATATGTACTGGAAAGGTGTAGTGATAACTGAGGACTTGTGCCAAGTGTTTTTTCTAGTGTATACGGGAAAATATTTCACTGTTGGCCAGAACAGTTTAATGTGTAGATGTAACTGCATACGAGTACACCAGTGTGAACTAAGATTTCCTTTGCACCACTCATGTCAAGAAGAGGACAGCTTGGTTTTGGTTGACTAATTGAAATGAATTGATTTGAAGATTTTCAGAACCATGCTCTTATTAATTAATGAGTTCAATATGTAATGCTCATAGCTAGTCAGATGCCATCCTAAAAACTGTGTGTATTTATGTATTAAAGCAGAGCTGAGGTGTAAGAGCATCACTGTCTGTAATCAGTCCCTCAAGAGTTTAACTGTATGATGTTGTCAGCAGCTCAGTTTCAATAATCGTGAGTCCTGAGGAATTTAACAATTTTCCAGGAAGGAAGGTGGCCTCTCCCTCTACTTCCCTGTCTTTTCTACCCCCATTGTAAAATAACCAGACTAAATTTGCAGATAACACATAGAATCTTGGCCTAATAATACTTAGTGATCCACGCATTTGAGGCTTCCCCCCCTGTCAAATGTGTACCTTCTTTTCACTGGATATGTTACCGTTGTGTTTGTATTCCATACAGAGTCCTGGCTGCTGTTTTCACGGTCATTCCCTATTGCATCTTTTAAAACTATTTGCATAGCTTCTTCAACGTCAGCTTGTGATTCCAGCCAAAAATCTTGTCTTTGTTCTCTGCAGTTCTTGCATCTCTTTCAAGTGATTTCGAATATGATTAGCTGGTCTTGGCTCTTTAACAGCAGTTCATCTGATCAGTTTGGTGATAGCGTTGGCACACCAATCTTAGTGTTCTGCTCTGACGACTGTAACTGGAAAAGTGGTTACTTTAACTGTTCTTGGTCTGGTTCTTCCTTTGGCAAAGTGTCAAGATTTGCTTTGCTGCGCTTTGCTGGCACTCCGTACGCACATGAGACATCGGACTCGAACCTAGGGGATGGCTTTCCAGTATTTCTAATAATAAATTGACTTACGTCTTTGGCTAGTGTAAAAAAAGTAGATTTGGATAAGTTAGATGGCCCCAAGGCATCAGTATGCAATTTATTTCAGTCTGTGCTAACATTGTGTAATGTTTTGATTACTTAAGAGAGCAGTTGATCCACATGCAATGGGCATGTTAAATTGTTTCAGTTGATCTCTGCTATTTCTACTAGGACTTGAGTATTTCCTCCGGAAGGGAGGAGAGTGAAGATGAGCCCAATAGGTACTCCCATGTTTTGTTGCCACAGGTGCTTTTCATGCCAATGAGAATTGGGAGAGTTGGAAGTACTACAGTCACAGCATGTACTAATGTACACTGGCAAAATTCAATGCTTCGTGTGAATTTTGAGCTTGCTGCCATATGGGAAAAGTCTCTCTTCAAAGGGAGAGGGAGCTTTGAGTTAGGACTTTCATCTGGTATAACTGCTTTTTTTAATTACAGCAGTTACTTTTTACTATTACTTGTTAGCCTGAGAGCAAGTGTTAGTGAGGAATTGAGAGAGAAGTGGAGCACAGAGAACTTTGCCTGCTTTTTGTTTTCTGTAGCTGAGCTTTATCCTTCATCAAATCCCTCTCAAATCCATGTGGCATAATGTCCTTTAACTGCTTGGTATTTGCTTACTTCGTGGCAAGCAGTTCTGCTTCAGTAGCCATAGCCTCTTGGTTAGCCTCATGTTGGTTTGTGTTGTATCATAGTTCTTGCCACTTACCGGTATATTCCTATCGGTGAGAGGTAACAAAAGCAAGTGTTCACTATAGGTGCCATCTGTCTCTCTAGTCTTATTATGGAATAACTTACGATCTAAATGATCATAAATCAAAATTCACTGTTGAACAGTTCTAAGATATTAATCATTGCAGAATATCTCAGACAAGACAGGCCCGTCACTCCCCATACAGCTGGTGATGTGCTGCCAGTGCCACCTTCACGTGGGTGTCGTGTGGAATGGTGAGGGGTCACTCTGAAGCCCTTTGCTCTTACTCCTGCACGGATCTTTGATTATACTTTTGTAGAAATGATGGTGCAACGTGCAGCAGCTGAGTTGCACAAGATCAGGGTGTTTGGGAGAGCTGCTTGGGGCAAGTAAGGCCACTTGCCTGGACCTGAGCTGCCAGGAAGCACCTCCACGCAGGCCCTCGCTGCTGAGCAGCTGTCTGCGTGCGCCGCTGTGGGCGCCGGCTTCCCAGGGAGTCAGGACACGGAGGCTGTGGCGTGATGAGAAACATGAGATGGATGTGACTGGGGCAGAAAACGAAGGGACAGAGTGCAAAGGTGGGATCATGAGAGGTGGGCAAGAGGGGTGGATGGCAGATGGTTGTGATTCATTCAGCCAGTGAAAGAAGCATTTATTACGTGTTTAGAGAAAGTCTGACACTACTGTGGAAGTGGAAAACACTTCCAGAAAACTCTATCTGCAGTGAGTACTTTAAAAATGGAATATAATCTGACCAAGCAGTCATCACAAATACTACAGTGATGTGGTCCTTCGTAAGAAGGTAAAGTTAGTCATGTAAATAAGAGCAGGTAGTAAGACTTGCTTTCAGTCTCTCTTACTGTTCATGACCCAAAGAGCTTTGCTGGGGACAAACAAGAGCAACTGAAGCTGGGAAGTCCTGTTAAGTGATCTCCGTTTCCCTCAATCCAAGATCACATTTGAGTCATGTTTTCATCCCTAAGTACTGAGGCACTTCAGGCTTCATTTCAGAGGTGTCTCAGATGGCACGACTCACCTGCAGATAGAGGGATTTGATCACTCTGGCATTTTTCATTCGTTCTGTTCTTCACACTCTCCACTGGCATTCAAGGAATGGTGTCACTAGCGCAGGACTGGCCAAGTCCAGCTAATAGCTGCAGTCCTCTGCAGCAGGACCTTCTTGACATAAACTACATCTTCTGTCCTCAACTCAACAGGAGCATCGTTGATACCCCCAGCACCGCCACCACCGCCCCTGCCACCAGCAGCTCCTCCTCCGAATACAGAGGTGCCAACGCAGCCGAGCCCACAGCCTGATGTCAGCGCAAGCCGAGGAGCCTTACTCAGCTCCATTCAAAACTTTCAGAAAGGAACTCTGAAGAAAACACAGACCTGCGACTACAGCGCTCCCAGGATCAGCTGAGGCCACTGGTCACACCAGGATTGAATTCCCTCTCCCCCTCCTGTGCTGTCCAGGAACAAGACCCTCCTGTCCACCCACTGATCCACCAGCATAAAGCTGCTAATCACGCTGTACATCCGTTTACCCCTATTTCAGCTTTTCTTGAGTAGCAGCACTGCCCTGTTTGCATCCCATTGCCATGCTGTGATAAGTACTCCATCCTTTACTTGGTTTCAAGAACTTTGTTCTTTAGCTACAGTTTCAGGGGCACAGCAACTTCTACATAGCTGAATAAAAACCTGAAATAGGAATGACCATGATCATGGTGAATTAATGCATTTTTTTCTAGCTCTATTCCACCCCTTTTTTTTTCAAATTACAGGAATGTAGTTTTAGTCTGCTCAGTTTTTCAGCACTTTTCATGCATTCTTACTGCACTGAATCAGCAAGTTTTGTTTTAGACAATCCAACACCCTCCCCCCACCCCATCCCTTAAAGTGTACTGCACAGGTGAGGGAACCGGAGAATTAAATCTTATTCCCACCGTATTTGCTGGTGGAGTGAAAATGCTGTTTCATTAAACTTGTTTAAATGGACATCCTACCTGTAACTCTAAGGGAAAGTGTTTTTAAATAAGGAAACAGTTGAAATGGGAGTTAATAGGGCACTGGAATATTATTCATGATTTAGTTAAATGCAAAGTTATTTCAAGTTAATTCTACAGCTTAAACTTTATTGAAAGATCCTTTTTGATTTAAAACCTTAAACAAATTGCACTTTAAAGGATTATAGATAATCCATTTTTTTAAATTCAAGTACATCAGTGTTTGTTACTATGCAGAGAATGTCTGTACAAAGTTTCATGTAACCTGTGATATTCAGTCATTTTTATTAAAATGTTAATGGAATTCCTTCAGCAGTGTGGTGGCGGGTATATTCAGCTAGGATTTCACCTGCGAGCCAGACTTCTAAGAACCTAACAGCACTTCTACTAAAGGAAATACCCTGAAAGGTATTCCTGGCTCTTGACTGAAATAGGACCCGAGCTCTTCTGCCTACGCACAGAGGTAAGTATCTCCTCTCCAACAGCTCGGTAGAAGGGCAGCCTGCTCAGGGTATAGAGCAAGCCGCACTGCCCGGACTCCTCGAGGCAGCTTCCACGCTGTACCAGAAGCTGCTGAACAAAGCCAAGCGGAGCTCTCCTGCCTGTCAGGACTAGCCCCTTGGCTAAACCATGGCACGAGGTGATCTGCCGAAAGGCTGCTGCGACTGTTTCCCAGCTCTTCAAACATGATCTATGCAACTGCTACTTTAGATGCAGGCTCACTGTGTCTGAATAAAATAACTTATTTTGCACTGTAAGAACTATAGTTTGAGCAGGCCATTCCTAGCCCATGTGATAAATTTAAAAAAAATAATACATAAAGCATCTGGGCAAGTATTTTTTTATCACTGTATGTGGCAGCTAGTGAAGAAAAAGTAGGTAGTGTTTCCCATCGCATACTGAAGAGGATTTATTTAAGCTCTTGTGCAGAAGCTTTCCTGCACGAGTGGAGTGCTCTTCAAACTGAAGATGTTGGCCATCTCTTAATCCATCCACCACGGGCTTCCAAGTCACTCTGTGCAGCCCATCGCACTTAACTGCTGAACTGAAAAGCAAGGCTTCACCCACTCGTTTCATCATTCACCTTTAATAAGCCTTGTGACCATGGGCTCCTACAAAGCTGTACAGCAGTCCAGGGCTAGACTCGGGGCCCCCTCTTGCTCACTGTAGTTCTTCACTCAGCGACCACTACAGCCAGTTTAATGCAGCTAGTCTGGTAATTATAAACCAAGCAGAAATGGAGGATTTTTTCCCTAAATCCTATTTAGAATAGGATTTCTCCATGTACAGTAGCACTAACCCACCTGCACTGTGTAACAAACAAGCATTACCACATTGTTGCTTATACGAAGTGTGGCTTAGAGGGTAAGCCCATATAAATATTCTGGGAGGTAACCATACTTTCCCCACTGTACAAAAGTTCCATGTAGCTATACAACAGAAGTAATGCATACAACTTGCCCAACACCATTGATACTTTGTAAAGCAGGACTTTAAAATGTGTATTTACAACTTAGATATTCAAAGTCTTCTTCACTGCAAATATTATATCCTTCACTTGAGGTATGCAGTTATCTTCTAAAATTTTTGCATAAGGCATAGGAACATCTGCACCAGTAACACGCACGGCTGGAGCGTCCAAGTAGTTAAAGGCAGATCCTGAAACAGAAGACAGTTGTCAGGTTGCCATGCACCATGGTTTTCTCTCAATTCAATTTCTGAATCTTAATCTATTTAAACAATTTTATTCCTGTAGCTCTTACATTCTAGAGAGCTGTTCCTGCTCATTTATCTTCACGTACTATGGTTTAGACAAAAAGTTTCCATCCTGCTTCTCATGCAGTTCCTGGGATAAGAATTACTTTCAACAGAAGACCAGCCGGATCCACCTTGTGAAAATCTCTAGAGCAAGACAGCTAAGCTCGAGCTCCTCAGATATAAAACCCTAACTTTGCCTTCATCTGGCTTTATCAAAAAATCATCAGGATTTAGACTAGGGAATAAGACCAACATGTATATTGCAAAACTCGGTACCTTCCATGATCCTGGCACAGATTTCAGCTCCTACTCCAAATTGCGGCCAACCTCCTTCTACAGTTACAAGATGATTTGTCTTTACAACGCTGGCTTCCACCGCTTCAATATCCATTGGTCGAATGGTACGCAGATTTATAACCTGGGGCAGGGGGGAAAGGACTGAGTTTTGCTACGATCTAAACCTGTCAGTTACCACTGTTTGTGTACAGTGCCCGTTAGCACTTTCATCTATTCTGATGTTGAAGACAAGACTTAATAAAATTGTAACTTTTTATTCTGGCAGAGACTGTGCAGAACAGTTTCTGGTGGCTCCTGGAAAATCCAAGATAGGCGAGTCTTGCTATATCGCGATACAACCATAGTAATACATAGTTGTTGTTCTGCTTACCGTACAGCTGGGTCAATCTGAAAATTGTTAGTCCTGCCTTAATTTTGTGGTGAAAAGGTGAAATGCAGAAACATAAAATGCACATGCTGTTAAGGTATTTACAAATATAGGAAACTTGTAGTTAGTACACTGAAGTTTTGCAGAGCCTGAACAAGAACACCTTCTGCTTTTTTTCCCCACTTCAGGGGAAGAGGAAAGCAACAGAACCCCCACCCACCTCACACTCTACACCTTCTTTGGCAAGTACAGCAGCTGCTTCCAAACAGTGTCCGACAGGTCTTGAGTGTGACACTAATGTAACATGAGTTCCTAGAACAGAAACAAGTGTTAAAAAAATCTAAAAAAACTTTAATATTTAAAGCTCTTTTTCTACACCTTAGTCTCCTTTCAAGGCAATGTTAGGATTCTCTTGTAAATTTAAGTTCCTTACATTTATTTGAAATGCTAAATATTCTACACCTATACATAGCATGAAGAGTGGGAGTGGAAGGACTATGCTGAGACACAATCTTTACCCTTTAATTCAGGGAACTGAAGGGATATTTAATATGGTTTTCAGTTTATCCTTTTCAAACATTCATGTAATTCAGTGAGAAATTATGAACAAATGGGCTGAAATACTACAGTAATCTCTTACTGCTCTTCTGACAAAATTTACATACAAGTTTTTCAGCCATCGCCTACTCCATCTTTATATCAGGGAACAAATACTTTAGAAGGGTGAAGTCTTAGATGAGATAAAGAGAATCGAGTGATCTTTCTTTATATGGGCAACAGAACAATAAAGTATACCACTGGATAAAGTAACATTTGAACATTTAACATTTGAAATACTTACTCTGTGTCCCATGACAGCAGTATTCTGAATAGCTAAGAGGTTAAAAAATGTCCCCAAGCAGTTCATTTAATAAGGAAACAAACTCTTATTCTCAGCTTACCTTGTCTTTCTATTTTAGCTTTTCCAATTGGAACAATGAAATCCTTTGACTGTGCCTGTTCAGACATTTCAAAGGGAACACCATACAGTAATTCATTCTCCAGCATCACAACTAGAAGAAAACATACTTGGATTAACGTGTACATCTGCAGGCACAGGACTGTACTGATAATTAACAGTACTGCAGCAGACTACCTCAAGATACTATGCCCATCCAGGCAACAAGGATTAAACTATGTTTGCAGAAGCAATTAAAAAAAATTAAAAAATAATCACAGTGTTTACTTCAATGCTGAATTATCTAAGGCTAATTTTATACAATTTTTTAAACAGGATCAGATATTTAACTTTTGGTACATGACAGCAGAATCACTAGTTTTAGAAAGGTCTTCAGATTTTGCATGCGTGTTTCTGAGAAATACAGACAAAGGTTGCCCTGTTTTTAATTAATGACATTCTGAATTTACCATGTGAATTTCATGATCTATAAAAATGAGTTACATAGACAATTGTATATGCAAGAAATCCTCCTGACTCATCTTTATCCTTTTTAATCCCTTTATGATAGATTCATAAATGCTTCTAAGTTTCCTGATTGGTACCAAACTAGCACTACAGATCTGCAGCTGACAACAGCGCAAAATTAGTCTACTGCTAGGAATGCAAGTGACTATTAGGAAAAGAATAAATGTGCCTCTGTAAGTACCCTAAAGCTGCAGTATAGCAACCTTAAGTGTTCTAGGGTTTAACAATCTTTTTTTGTTGTTTTGTTTTAAATGGGGCAGGAGGGTAAAACAGACATTCTTTTCAGGATCGAGTGCTAGGTATTGCCATGATCTGCCTGTGCTCACCTGGATTATCGTCCCGGATTGATGCTTTCAGCAGGCCTTTGGCATCTTCTGAGCTCCAAGGACTAACAACTTTCAGTCCTGGGCAGTGCCCATACCAAGCAGCGAAGCACTGCGAGTGCTGAGCGGCGACTCCAGCTGATGCCCCGTTGGGGCCCCGGAAGACAATGGGAACAGCAATTGATCCTGCAGACATGTAACAGGTCTTGGCAGCGGAGTTTATAACCTGATCGATTGCTTGCATGGAAAAGTTGAACGTCATGAATTCACACACTGGTCTCAACCCTGCCTATTAAATATATTAAAATATATGTCAGTACGTTTTTACATAAAAATAGATTAAGTTTAATTTGGAAGGAATATGAATTTACAAACCATAGCAGCACCAACAGCGATTCCTGCGAATCCCATCTGAAAGAGAAGAAAACCAAGGGGTGAGCACCAGGGGAGGGGCTGAGGAAGGGACCGCCAGGGGAGGAGACGGGGCAGCCATACCTCTGATATCGGGGTGTCGATCACTCTCTTATCCCCGTATTTCTTCCAAAGACCCCTGGAGATCTGCAGAGCAGGAGAGAGAAGTCAGGGCCTGCCTCAGGCCCTTTCCCTGCCCGGTAACGGCAGCCACGCACCTTGTAGGCACCATCGTACTGGGCCACCTCCTCGCCCAGCAGGAAGACGCGCTCGTCCCGTTCCAGCTCCTCATCCAGCGCCTGGTTCAGCGCGTCCCGCACCGTCACCTGCGAGACACGGGCAACCGGGCAGGGCGGGGGCACGTCCTG